TATCTTTCTTTATTTCCTTTTTTTATTTTTGTAACTGAAATACCAGAAATACATTTTTTTTTATTTTCTGAATGAGACGAGAAAATTAAATTCTGAATTTCTTGAAAAGAGTCATATTAAATCAGTAACATCGACCGCCTCTTACTAACCTACCCCTGAGAGAAACTAAAAAACAGACCGAAAGCGTTCTTAAGCGTGACCGAGTACAGTTGAAGGTTTGGTTCAAGTTAACCTATATTTTAAATCTTTCCTTTGCGAACAATGGCTGAAAATGTGTTTCTATTTATTCCAAATATCATAGGTGAGTAAATTTTTTTCTTGGCACTTTTTACCTCGTAACAGCTGTTTTATTGTGGAAATAGCATGTTTCACTTAGAATTTTCAATAATGTTGTAATACCATAATCGTTTTCAGTCTCGGAGATTTCAAATAGCAAATGGTACTTTACTGATCTGACAGGTTATGCACGGATCGTGTTAGCCATATTATCCTTCTACTTCATGCCGACGAACTGTGTCGTGGCGGCATCCATGTATCTTCTGAGTGTCCTGTTAGATGAATTTGATGGGTATGCAGCACGATACTTTAATCAAAGTGAGTTCGATCATTAAGAGCTGTAATTTCCCATCGCCAGGATATTTGACTCTTTTAATGTGTCGCAAAGAGTCTTGTTTTCAGTTTGCGTGACCAGGAGAAAGTGCTCTTCCTCATGTGATTAAAAAAATGGCAGAATGCATGGTGATCACGAATCACATTTTTTCGAAACAGCTAGGTGGGAAAATTAATTGTAGGTACCTCGTTTCCACTGTCTTCTTACCCACTTGTGCAAGTTACATCAACACCACCGTTAATTCTGTCCAGTGCGTTTTGCCATCTTGGGGGGGGATACACATGCATATTTGGGATGGGTATGTGATAGGCAAGCTCTCAAACATAGATACTCCGTTAATAGATTTGGCCAGCTTTAACACCTCTTTCCAGAAATGTAGCAAATATTCCAATGGTCTAGTTGTCTTTAATAAATAGTTATTATTTTATTCCACTCAAAACTTTCAAATGTTTTTTAACTTCTTAGGTACAATGTTTGGTGCCATGCTAGATATGCTCACAGACAGGTGAAGTATCTTGTATGGTTAATTTTGTTGAAATGAGGACTGGAAAAGAGAGATTTGAGAATATTTATTTTATAATTTAATAACCTTTCAAATCTCTGACAGGGCCAATTTTT